TAAAACACTCGACTCCAGGTACACTACACCCAGCTGGAAACACTTCCCGCAAGTCGAGCTGCCCGAGATTCACAGAATTTACAGAAAATGTTACATTTTTGTGATTTATATCGTTATTGGGACGATAGAATTCTTATATCGGGATATGAGATTTTGGTCATATCGCACAGCCCTAGCTGTTAGTATAACTAAATGTGGAACTATGCTTGAATTTATTATGTGTCATCTCCTTCGAAGTCGAAATTTAATATTATATCTGGAAAAGGTTATAGCTTCAGTTTTGCCCACTAAATTAAGCGGCATTTGCAGGACATGTGTACACACATGTGCACATAGGATGATGATGATGATGATGATAATAATAATAATAATAATAATAATAATAATAATAATAATCACCTTCCAGTTCTAGTTTTCCCTGTTCTAGTTTGCAGAGTTGACCTCTTCCTAACATGGAGGTAAATGTAGCACTACAAGTTAGTACATTGTACTTGGGCTTTCTGTCAGGTCTGGATGTATGTGATTTCATTTTTAGCTTCTAAAATGGGTGTGCATTTGTCTGTTTCATTTAATTAACTTGTTGCTATTCAATTTCCTCAGTGAGTTCTTGAAATGATTACCAGCTTCAAAGAGTAGGCATTCAAATAAATGTGACTTGGGAGGCTGAATTTCTGTATTAATGATACACTTGTTTCACAAAAAGTGAGCCAGTGATTAAAGCTGTTGACATTTGGGTCAGCTGGTTCGTGTTACCTGGTTTCACTGGTTTTCACCGCTGGTGGTCTGCTTGTCATTAAAGTCAATGGAAAACTGATCTTTTACTCTGTGCTCTTCATGTCACTGCTCTTTAACACCTTCACCTTCATCTTCTCACAGTTAACCAGGTCTCAAGGATTCTCCCTCGATTGGGTGATCATGGTGCCTCTGGGGCTTTTGTCATTCGGAACCATCTTTAACAGACTTCACTAAACGTGCTGTTGATCAATTTAAATGAAGCCTTTAACTGGTGCTTTCATTACAAATGCCATTTTACTGTGAAACCACTGGGGAGAACCTTGATCTGATGCTTAAATTAGTTCTAACATTAACTGGAAGAAAAACTTACACATCAGATGTTACTGTGATGTGAAAGAGATTTGTATTTGTGATATTAGTCACTCCATGTAGGATGTTTTGTGTCGTGCCACTTGACTGGTAGTTCCAGGGATGTGTGTTGTGGCTTATCTTCTCATAAAACCCTGATTCTCTCCCCCTGGTGGTTAGGTACGGTATCGTCGGGAACATGCTTCCGGTCGACAGCTGCCCTTCTTTCCATTGCTGGAAGATCTGATGAGGGATGTTTGTGATGGAGCTGCACTGCTCACTGTAGTCCATTACTACTGCTCCGATCTCATGAAGCTGGAAGGTATGATGCTCTTGCCTGTGCGTTTTCTTTCTCTGTCTCCCGAACACACACACACGTTCACTACCTACATCTCACAAATCACTCTCAAATAATATTTTTCTATAGGGGCCAATAGACTTGCTCTACTTACATGCTCAATTTAATAACTGTGTGATGCTATTTTTGTCACTTGCTCCTACTTACTGTCACTGTCCAGTCAGTGTGACATTTATAGCCATCATGTCATCAAGTTGTCCTGATCTGACCTGCTCTCTGTGCACCTGATTAGATATTTGCCTGAAGGAAGTCCCTTCTATCGCTGATAGCCTGTACAACATCCAGCTCCTCAGAGAATTTGCCAATGAGTACCTGAATAAAAGTTTCTATCTGACAACAGAGGACATGCTCTATTCACCGCCTGTGCTCAAGGTACAAAAAACTGTCAGATATTTGTACTGCAGAGTGAATTTTAAGTATTATAACGTGCCATCTGCTCTTTGTGTAGCACAATGTGATGGTGTTCATCGCTGAGCTGTTTTGGTGGTTTGAGACAGTAAAGCCAGAGTTTGTCCAGCCCAGAGACCTCCAGGAGTTTAAAGATCGTAAGTATTACAGTAGATTAAGTGAAGATTATTAAACTATTAAAGCCTATTAGAGAAGGAAGTATGCATATGTGGTGAATTACATTGTAGTGTTTCGTGGTCTCCCATGGTTAGGGCTGTGCGATATGACCAAAATCTCATATCCCGATATAAGA